GAAACCTCGACTGAAACGCATAAAGAAACATCACATTGATCCTGGTAAATGTTTCACAAGTTTTCCTTTCAACACATCTAAGTCTCTTTCTCTTGGATTTTTAGATTCGAGGATGAATCATTTTGAGGAGTGGGGGAATGATACATGCACCAGAGTCCATAATACATGCTTCTTTGGACTAATGTTTCTACACGAACCTATTAGAAGAACAAAGTCTCGAAGATTCAAAGCATATCTATTCGGTAAGTATAATGTGAATGAATCATTAAACGATTCTAATGTTGCTCCCTTTAATGTTTCAAATTCGAGGTCGAATCTTTTTGAAGAAAGAGAGGATGATACATGCATTACAAGGCTCACATCAAAGGAAGAAGTAATAACTCTTCCAAATGATCCACTCGTCCAAGCATTGGAAAAGAAGATCAGAACAGAAGCATACTTACGATGACTTTTTGAATGAGATCCTGATCTTATTTAGTCAAGATGTCTTCTGGAGATACAACCGTTTGTCTCTTATCTTTCCTACGATTCTTGAATCTTATCAATCCGATATCGGGAACTCAAGATATGTCTATTTTACTAAAGACGGTGCATGCAGAAAATCCTATACGGGATTAATACGGGATTTTGTAAATATTACGAATTTTCAATATATTTTTATTGATTATTTGTAATATAACTTAATATATGATGATGCATTATGTTTTAGGATTAGATTTATTATTTTATTAGGAATTAAGGTTGGGTTAAAATATTATTTTTAGTTATTATTATTTTTATTAGGAATTAGAGTTAAGATATATTTAGTTTATTATTTTTTTTATTCATTAGTTATTTAGGACCTTTAGAACTCAGCCCCTATATAAAGGAGGCTTCATTCAACTTTGTAATTGAAGATTTCTTTGATTAATAATACAACGAGAGTTCGTTTTTGCAAGTGTTGATTGCCTTGTGCCTTCGAAGCTTCTTCTCCTTGAGTTCTTTCAAGTTCTTGTGAGGGAGATTAATCTTCACACTCCAATTTACCTTTTCATCGCGACTAGGAGGGTTGGTTAGAGCCATATTATCGTGTTTTCCTTTTCATTGCGACTTGGAGGGCTCGATAGGACACTTATCCATCTATTTTTCCACAAATCCATCTATTTTTCCACAAATCCATCCTCACCGTCATCATCTTTACCGTTCACCTTCATAAGGGAGATCTTTTGATTTCTTTATTATCTTATTTTATTTTTAATTTCTTTATCTTTTGTTTATCTTGTTCTAATCTTGTTTCTTACCTTCTTTCCAGCACTTAAAAGAAACTCTAAAAGACCCTAGTTGTTGCCACCACCTTCCCATATTCATCCCCTTTGTTCTTCATCGAGTCTAGATATTTTCTAGGTTTGATTCTTCAACAAGAGCAACGTTCATTAATCCTCCACCGCTTCCCTATCAAAATTAGGAGCAAAAAATAACCAAAGTGATATCAACATAAAATAAGACATACACAAGAGATAAGATTTAACGTGGTTCGGCCTTACCTACTTCCAAGGGCAAGATGAACAATAATACACTATAAACATGGTTTTTAGAACCAGACCGGTTAGCGAACCGGTCATGCTACCGGTTCACTAGTTCAATCGGTCCAACCGGTCGGAAGAACCGGACGACGTCATAATTATTTAAAAAAATAAATAAAAATAACAAAAATATTTAATAAAAAATAATTTTTTATATCACACGTCATATTCAAAGTAAGTCATAACATATATAAGTTAAAAACCATAAAATCAAGTGAAATAAAATGATTCAAATTAACTACAACATAATATTTAAGGTAAAACATATTAAATAATAAATATAATTATATAACTATAATTAAAAAATAAATTTTGGGTTAAAAAAATCATAACAAAATGATATTGTTTGGTTTAATTTTTTTTAAAAACAATCCCACATGACTAAGAAACATGGAAGAGCATCCCAAAAGTCTAAAGAGTAAAAATATGAGAACAAAACAATCTCACATTGCTAAGAAACATAGAAGCGCATCACAACTAACTTCTATAAATAATAGAGGTAATTTGACATTCAAAATCATGGAGCCTTTTGGTGAGCATTGAGTGAACTATTCTTTCACTTCAATCAAGCTCGAATTTTAGGCTTCAATCGAGCTTCTAAATTTTTTTTTTGAGTTCAAGCCTTTTTGAGTTCAAGTTTCAATATTATATTTCGAGTTTGAGTTGAACTTGATAATTTTTAGCTTGTGAGTTTGAGTTGAGTTGAGCTTACTTTTAAAGTTTTCAAGTTCGAGTCGAGCTCAGCAATACTCGAGTTCGACTTGGCTCGTTTAACAAACGATGTTGTTTGATTTAATTTTTTTTTAAAAAAAACAAAAATCTCGGTTTTTCCAGGTTTTTTCCGATTTTAAGCCGGTCCGGTTCGAACGGTTCAACGGTTCTGGCCGGTTCACTAATAGCGGTTAAACCGGTTTAGATTGAACCGGACTAAGCAACGGTTCCCAGTTGAACCGACCGGTCCGATCCGATTTTCAAAACAGAGACTATAAATGTAGAGAATACGAAGAGTATAAATACATGATATCACATGTATCCCAAAATCCGATATTGATACCAGAGCTCAGTATATCTCAAAACACTCTTCCAACATCCTTACAAAATTATCTTTGCAATATAAACCCTAAAAGTTGCAGAGATCTAAAAAAAATACATCTCTCCAAAATAATTCTCTCCTACATAATCCTAAAGGCTAAAGCATAATCTCTATTTATAGAGCCAAACACTTGGTCACAAAGAAATCTTATTCCGTAAAAATTATTGCCTAAAATAAATTTTTAGTTTATTAAATAAACCAAGTTACCAAGTAATCTTTAACCTTTAGAATTAAAGAAAAATTCAACTTAATTACCGATTATAATCTAGATCAAAATATAACAAGATCAAAATCAACATGTTTAACCATGAACTTCTAAAATCCCACATTGTTTAGATATGAGTTCTTTTAAGTGTTTAAATATAACATTTTAAACACGCATTCATCGAGTGATTGAAAAATAAGACTAATACATGTGTGTTGTTAGTACCGTTTGGCCATACTCATGCTTGTACTCGTTATTCATGTAAATATGTTTTTCAACATGCATTGTGTGCATATATTATTTTTGGACCAAATTTGTTATATATTTCATTCATTTTGGTACAATCTTTGAAAGTTCTAACTAACTTTTACCACATCAACATAATACTTCTTACAAAAAACGCCTTCTGAAAAGTGCTTCTTACGTGGTGCACCTTCGTCTTACATGGCACAAAAGAGTATCAATTTGAGAAATAATCTAAATTAAATGTTAAATTCAATTTATTAAGACATAATGCCAAAAATGTCCATCTGTTTGACTAAATAGTCATTTTGATCCATATTTTTTGGGAGTATTTTGGACCCGCAACATTTCACCTTGGAGCATAAAGACTCATTAGTGGATGAAAATCGTTAGTCAACAAACGAGTAACGCTTTAAAATAGGGGCCTTTTTGTCCTAAAATGCAACGTTGGAGGGCAAAATGCTTTAAAAAAGAATATGAGCCAAAGTGACTATTTAGTCAAATATTAATGACTTTTTTGCTCTAAAATAAAATATTATGAGGTAAAATGTTTAAGAAAAAGAAAATAGACTACAATAATTATTTAATCAAATATTAGTAACATTTTTGATATTATATATTTTTTACAATGGTAAAAAGGCCCAAAAATTATTCTTATGCACTCAAATGTAAATCAATTCAAAATTAAGATCGTAAAATATATCGATCAACATATCTTAACAACAATTCCATAACAAAATAATATAACACAATTTCATAACTATGATAACATTCATACAATTTATCGGTTGATACTAATATTTCTATAAAATATAATTATAAAATTTAACAATTATACTATCATTTCATACAAGAATAAAAAATTTATCTTTAGAAGATATGTCGAAAATTCGTGTTATAACCTCAACTTTGATATGTTTCATAATGGGCTTAATGTAAAAAATTCAGATTTACATTATTCTATACAAAGACTTAGAGTAGAGGAGGATTTGAGTGAGAAGAGATTTAATTGACAACCAATGTGACTTCCACATTATGCCTGTAAACGAATCGAACGAACATGAACAGTAAATGTTTATGTTTGTTCGTTTAACTTTAACAAACAAACAAACGAGCATGAGCAACTAAACGAACAAAATTTTTTGTCTATGTTCGTTCACTAAGAAATTTAGCTAGTTCGTGCTCGTTCATGTTCTTCCGTTTAAATGATAAATGAACAGAAATGAGCAAACGTAAACGAATACAAACAAACGAACATAAATAAACGTAAATGAATATAAACGAACGAACATAAAATTATTTGGGTTTATATTTGAGAAGAGTTTTTTTTGTTCAAATAATTTTAGGGTTTATATATTCTTTAGTTGATTTGAGTTTTTTTTTATTTGAGTTTAAAATTATTTGAATTTAAAAATATTAATGGGTTTAAGATTAAAATTTATTAAGTCTTAATATTTTAAACGAGTCTGGAGAACGTAAACGAATATAAAAAAGCGAACATAAACGAATGTATATAAATGAACATAAATGAACAAACACAAACAAACAGATTATTGAACATTCACACGAACGAGTATTTTATTCGTGTTCGTTCTTTTAATTAAACGAACATAAAATCTTATTCATATTCATTCGTTTAATAAATATATCAACATAAACAAACTTACCTTCCAACAATTCACAAACAATTCCTTGAACATTTGGTTCGTTTATAGGAGTATTCGACATCAATGGATTTCAAGGACATAGATTAGATGACAATTAAATTGAAGGACCTCTACGAGATAATCTTCAAAAAGAAAAAGGAAAATATTGTTGTGAAGGGGACAATTTTGGTAAATTTATTTTTGGAAAGTTGAGTAAAAGGAACGCTCCAGAAAAGGAAAAGGGGGAAACAAAGTATATTTCTTCTTTGCCGCTTCTTCCGGCTACCGCAACTGCACTCGGCGTTCTTCGCGTTTGTTCATTTAAACGGTATTTGAGCACTTCCGGGGATTCGGGTTTAATTTATTATAGAATTTCTTGTACTCATTTGCTTAGTTTAATTAGAACTGAGTTTCGGGATTTTAGTTGATCAGATCAGATCTCAACCAAAATGCCTTCCGCCGCTCCGCGATCCGGTGAAGCGATCTTTGCCAGCGTTGAACGCGTAGTAAGATAAAACACAACTATAAATCTCTAATTTTCTCCTTCTCTTTGGAATATTCGTGGAACATTTTATTTCTTTTTAATTTCCCTTTTCATTGTTTGAGAAGTTGAAAAAAAAACTTTAAATGCGAGCAATTTTTATTTTTTACTGTTCAATTTCGTTTTTCTTTTCATTTCCTTCTCGGCCATACTATAAGGATAGAGCCAAGAGAAGATGTATGGCTGGAGGGTTCTGTTCTAGGTTTGATTTGTATCTGATACTTAAAATTTGGAATTGATGTAGAATGCAGAACTATTCACTTTGACTTATGGAGCAATTGTGCGCCAATTGCTTACTGATTTGGAGGAGGTTGATGAGGTCAACAAACAGCTGGACCAAATGTACATTCTTTCTTTTGACAACTTCAGTACCTAATTCACTTTATTCACTTGATCTGTGCTGCTTGATTTATTATGATTTTGATGTCACTATTATGAAAGTACTTTACGGTGATTACTTGTTACTTTGTTTGATCATATTGGCTTGCTGAGGTTTTACTCTATAATAATAATAATACCACATAAAATGCTACTGTATTTTAATATGCTAAGCTATCTTCTATTATGGTAGGAGCCTTAAGCGAAGATACTTGCATCATGTATACAATGCATCTGCGCATGCCTGAATGCATCCTTTTTCTTTGCTTCCACTCATTCACGCCATGTAATATTTCAACTTGATACCAAATTCTATTCGTTATTGGAGCGTCATAAAAACTTAGGTAGCTTTCTACAGCTTTATTGGAGTATTCTGTATGTATTATTTCATTTATATTTTGTACTCAAAACTATTGTGGATAAATTTTGAGCTTATCTGTTATACATATACTTGCCCAATCTTGTGTGTAATATACAGTTTGGTTTTTAGTTATACTTAATTAAGCTTATCATGTGCTAACCATTATGAAAGACAAATGTTTGTTGTTGTGATGTTTTGGAGACAAGTTTACCTCACCATTTGGCTATTGGGAAGAACGTATGTTGTTCTATTTATTTATGGATTTTGGTGTGCAGGGGATAGGTAACTCATTGGTATTCTTGTTTACAGAAACAGTGAAATACTTCTTGTGTTAGGGTACCATTGGATTTAATTTATGAGGATTCAAGTAGAACGTTTGAGTTTCGTTTTTTTACCCGTGGAAATTCATTAGTGGGAGAATCTTTTTTGCATGAATTTGATTGGAGACCTTTTTAACTGCTTATGTTTCGTTGATTTCTTTTGACTGGTATTTTATCAAAAATATTCTGTGGAAGGAATAACCATCAATTGAAAGAAACGAAGATTTTGGTTAAATTTCAAATATATATGATGCTGAGGAAGGTATAAGTGTCAAGTCTTGATGGAAAAGAATCAACCTGTTTCAAGTAGTAGTCAGCAGACTGTTCTGTTGGATGTAAAGATTTGTTCTGGGATTATTTTTTGATAATTTCATGAGGGTAACTGGGAATGAGTAGGATGTGGGTGGATTTTGATGGCTGTACAAGTCATACAGACCAAAAGCTAATAAAGTAATATCTTGAAAATATGGATCCTTTTAATTCATTACTTTTCTGATGCATATCAGACTACATCAATCATGATATTATATAGTCAACTTAAATTTGGATTTACAAGATTGCTCTTGTTATCAATTTGGCTTGGGATTATACCCTTCCCTTTGAGTGTATCCATTAGTTTCTAGCAATACGAGCTATACATTTCCGTCAACTGTGAGATTATTTAGTCAAGCAACAATTTACAAATATTGCCATCATTTTCAATTTGGCTTGTAAAGCACACAGGATAGAGGGAGGGAGAGTCACCAGTTTAGGAGTTATGTACTTCAGTTTGAATTAATGCCTTAATTGAACATCTCTTCTTAGATGTGCTTTCTTCTTTTTAGTATGCATGGTAAATTCAGAAATTGGATTATGGTTTGCTTAAGTTCATAGATGTTCGTTATTATGTGATTTTTTTTGCTAGCATTGCTCGGTATTGATAGCTTTATTTTATGTGTTTTAGTTAATAAATTGATAATCAAATAATTCAGATTACTTAAACAATTCTGAGTATCATGCAGGGGCTATAATATAGGAATTAGACTAATTGATGAGTTTCTAGCAAAATCAAATGTGTCCAGATGTGTTGATTTCAAGGAGACCGCAGAAATGATTGCAAAGGTATACAATTACTTTTGCCTTATTTATATTGAATAAAATTTTCTTTCATTTGTTTCAAATAATGATCTATCGTATATATCATGCTATTTGTATGTGCTAATTTCCCTTTCTGTTTTCTTTAAGCATATTATTTTCCCCTTATTGGTTTGGACTGATAAAAACCAATCAGCAAAGACTAACTGGCAGAATGAATTAACTAATGAAGAGGTATGTTTTAGAAATATGAGTACATCTCTTTTTAGATGATGAGGACATATAGATGATTAGGATATATGAGAATTTTCTTATCTAGGTTTTCATGAAACAGATAATTGAATAGAAAAAAAAATTTGAGAAAAAACAGCTAAGGTTGGTTCTCTCAAACAATAAACGTAGCAGTAATACTTTGAATGTTATTATAATAATTCTGTCTCAATAGAGACTAATTTAGATTCAATATATAGAGAAAGCATAAGAAGCATTTAGGACAAGGACTACTTGGACTCCAAATAATAATCTAACAAACTTAACATAAAACAATCAAATAAAAGCCCTATAACATAAGAAAAAGCCAAACTAACTTCCTAAACTTAAAATGTGAATAGTATCTTCCGAAAAGATTATAAAAATTCCTGACATTTAAAGATGCTAGAAAAAAAGGGTAAAATAAGACCCTAAAACTTTAACTTGAAGAAACATCCAGTTATGACTTAAAACTTGTTATAGTCTTTGGAAATAAACCAAATGAGAGGGAAAGAATAAAAGAGCTAATAAAAGAAATCTGATTATTGAATTTAGGGGATTACAATATAAAATTTTGTCTAGAGATAGAGTTTACAAAAACTTCCGAGACTTGTCCTTTCTTATCATAAAAGACTCCTAAAAAAAGAAGAGTTCAATACGGCTGATTTTAACACTCCCCTTCAAGCTGGTGAATGAATATCTGTCATTCCCAATTTGCGTAACGTTTTGTGAAAAACCTTGCTTGTTAGTCCCTTCATGAGTACATCTGCCTACTGATCCTTGATAGAGATGAATGGAGTTCAAATTAGACCACTGTCTAATTTTTCCTTAATGAAATGCTTATCAATTTCAATACGCTTTGTTTGATCACGTTGAACAAGATTGTGAACAATATTAGAGTCTCCACAGATTCTTTTGGTGCATCACATAACCCATGATTAAACTCGATTGGTATCTGAACTGTTTTGCAACCCATCTTCCCCATATTTTTTAATATGTCAAGCACATATTACTGCTAAGAGAAAGGTACCTTGCTTCGTTCGTGCCACCTCAATGTACAGGAAGTATTTTAACTTCCCTAGACCTTTGATGTAAAATTCTTTCAAGTTCTTCATTCCTTCAATGTCATTACCCGTAACTATGATGTCATCTACATACACTAGAAGTGTTATAACCTTTTCATAGTTAGAGTGTTCTATGAACAAGGTATGATCACCTTGAATTTGCTTATATCCAAGTGAGATCATTTACTCGGCAAACCTCCTAAACCAGACTTGTGGAAGCTGTTTCAGCCCATAAAGAGCTTTCTTCAATCCACACACCATTCCCTTAGATTCAGAGCAAGAGAAACTTCCTTGTAAATTTTCTCCTCAAGATCACCATGGAGGAATGCATTCTTGACATTGAACTATTGTAGATCCCAGTCAAAATTAGTTTTCAAAGACGAGAATTTTTACTGTGTTTTTGCTGTGGGAGCAAGTGTCACAAGATAGTTAATGTCATATGTTTGAGTGTATCCATTAGTTTCCAGCCTTGCTTTGTACCTTTCAACTGTGCCATCTACCTTATATTTTATAGGGAATACCCATCTATATCCCAATGGTGTCTTTCCCACTTGGAAGTTCAACTATTTCTCATGTTTTGTTCTTCTCAAGCAATACCATTTTTGCATTCATAGTGCTGTCCCACCTTTCAATTCATCAGTTAGGATTTTTTGTGTGTGTGTGTATGGGTATTGTATGGAGATCGATTAAGAAAGTTTTATGGTTTTGTGATAAGTTTTGCTAGGACATGGAAATGTATAGTGGGTGTCTAGTACATGTTCTTGTTCCCTTCCTAAAGGCAATGCGTGAGTCTTCAGTGTTTGGGCTCTCAATTTGTGGTTCAATTGGCTCATCGTTTGGCTTGGAAGTGATTTTGACTAAGTGAGCATGAGTAGGTGAATGTACCCGCTTATGATAAGAGATTACAAAAATTATCCTTATGTAAGACTCCTAAACTAGCAAGACTTACATTGCTGATTCTGACACTACTTAATTACCATCTAGACTTCTCATTTTCGGACTTGTACCAATTCATGGCTTGTGCATTATAATCAGCCTTCCTAAACATTTTCCAGGCTGCAGTCGGCATAATCCTTCATTACTTGCATGCAGTAACGGAGGGGTAGCATTCTCTTTGACCAAGTTGCTTATCTTGTGCTTTCCTACCCGGATGATGTAATGATTAACTGCTTGTTAGTGCAACTCAGCTGGTCACACTAATTTATAGTATGCATTTAAGTAGATCTACATTAAAGGCTATGGTATATGCGTACTTGTTCCCTGGTATTTGAATTATCAGGTTAAAATCCAACATAACATGTGCTTGAAAACACATGACTGCGGATATGCGTTTTCGTGAAAATACATGGACCCCTTTTCCCATTTTCATATGGTTCTGTTTTTAACAAGTATGAAGTGGGCCCCATTTCCTGATAGCCTTAATGAAGCTTCTATGTAGGTGGGTTTCAAAATGTTCCTTGGGGTCACTGCATCTGTTGTGAACTGGGACACTGATGGGACCTGTTGCAGTATCCTTTTGGAGGATAATCCCCTTGTGGACTTTGTAGAGCTTCCAGATACTTGTCAAGGCCTTTACTATTGCAACATTTTAAGTGGAGTAATAAGAGGTGCACTAGAGATGGTGAGTGGAAAGCCAACTTTGATCTCCATCAATTTTTTAGTTTCAAGAATAAGGAGTCCTCGGTACTGATATACACTTTGGGTGTCGCTTTGCACTTTCCTGTCTTTATTGTCTTCTAATGACAACCTGAAACCACACTATTTGTGTCATCTTTGTAAGTTTCTTCTATTCACAGTTCCTTTATTGTTCAGGTGGCAATGAAGACGGAAGTTACCTGGATCCGTGATATGCTTAGAGGAGATGATGCATATGAGCTGCAGGTAAAACTTTTGAATCAAGTTCCAGAAGAGTATCCATACAAGGACGATGAGTAACATGCCATCCGCTTCACGTTGCTCACTTTGACAGTATTTTGTTTAGTTTTTGTGTCTCAACATTTCCCATGGTATACGTTGTTCAAGTCATCTTCCATTTTCATTTAGGGTTCATATTATATTATCAAAACTATGAATTTCTTAATGCTATTATAAACAAATGAGTGGATTGGATTGGATTTTGTAATGCACCTTTTGTAATTAAATAAAACGGCAATATTTTATTGGTTTAGGGCCATGGACTTATTTTATAGGGGGGTTAAAACCAAAATTGGTTAGGGTTTTCGGCAGATGAGAAATATGAAATGAAATATTGAGTTTTGCTTTCTTCTCTCTAGTTCTCAATTGATCCTTAATGTTGTTCTGGTTCTGCTGCATTTTCGATTTTTTCCCTACTATTTCCTTTATTTTTCTGCATTAAATCATTACAAGGTTACTAGATTTGCCTACCGATTCTGCAACAATGTGTTAAGGTCATTAGATTTGTAGCCAAACGACGCCAATTTGCTTCATATGGCTATGTAGCACAGGGACGGCAAAGGAGTCCCATTTAGCACGGGGACGGCAAAGGAGTCCCATTTCAAGTACTTGATGTGTTTCTGACACAGGAACGTTTGGGGTATGTATCAGGAACGTGCCACGGTGGTACGGTTGACCGTATTTGGGACGGTCAAAGATAGGGGTGCTTATCGAGTTGAGCAGCTCGAACTTGATTCGGTCAAAGCTCGGTAAAAAATCGACTCGAACTCGAGCTCAAGTTCAGACCTTAACGAGTAGAGTCGAGTAAAGTCCAACTAGACTTGATAAGTTTGCGAGCAACTTGTTAAATTTTTTATATATTTTTTAATAGTTATCTTAAAAAATATATCTAAATAATAATTATTAATTTGTTAACAAATAATAATAAATGATAAATTACTAATACATTAATTTTCTAATAAATAATAAAATATTATTAGTTAATAAATATTATTTTATTATACCAATAAAGGAAACCCTAATTTTCAATTTCATTCTTTAACTCCCCTGGTGCCTCCTTCACAACCCTAATTTTCAATTTCATTCTTCAACTCCCCTGGTGCTTCCTTCACAACTCAAAGTCTCATTTACTAAACCATTTTTTTCTCTCAAAACCACAAAACACAAATCACAATTTCATCTCTAATTCAACAGCCATAACAGGTTCGTTAACCTATCTCGTTATTTTTCTCCATTTTAGTTAAATAGTTTAGTTTTAGAATTCTTTGTTTTCATTCTCATTTGGCTGTATTTTTTTGTTTTGGTCTGTATTGAACTATATTTTGATATAACAATTAAGACAATGTTTTTGTACTTGAATTGAATTTGTTCAAAGTTTTCAAAAATAATTCAAACTCCATTTTACTTGGAATTGAGCACAAAATACGTTTTTGAACAAGTAGTACCGATACTGTTCTTACAGTATCGATACCTAATGAACATTACCGATACTGTTCATATGGTACCGATACCAAAGGTAAGGGAAGTATCGATACTCACTAGGTAGTATCGATATTACCAACATTGCTCAAATTCCAGAATGAAAAAATGGTACTTATACCCAAAAGGGTACCGATACTACTATACAGAGTAGTATCCATACCATAGGCATAATATCGATACCATCAGGCCCCAACAGCTAGTAACGACTAGTTGATTTAAAAATAACAAAGGTAGTACCGATACTCCCTTTAGGAGTACCGATACCCTATGTTCTGAGTAGCTTTATTTTGCACGAAAATTGATCCCCAACGGCTCCAAAACACCTCCAACGACTAGAAATGGCCACAACAACATTCCAACACATAAATACAAGTTGAGGACAATTGAAGAAGGGTTAGAACACCTATCCAAGCAATCAAATACAAGAGAAGAGTTTTCCAATCTTATTTTCATTTTTCTTGTAAATATTTTGTTCTTGTGAGCTAAATTTTGTAAACACCTACCTTTGAGAAGTTTATTTGTTTACATCTTTTTATCCTTTTGTAAAAGGGGCTGGTTCTATCTTAGCCAAGTGAAAAGGATAGGGAGTGTAAAGGTTATCTCTTTGTCCTTGAAAAAGAAAGAACAAATTAGTTAATTTGTTAAAAAATCCTTAGTGAGGAGATAAGGTAGTGGATGTAGATTTGGTTGATAAGTCGAACCACTATAAATCATTGTGCTAAATTTCTCTATCTTTTGCTCTCCTTACTCCCTAACACAAATATTGCCAATTAACCCCCTTTGCACATTTCGATTGTTCAATTGAGTCTCTTCGAACCTAACAATTGGTATCAGATCTTGACTCATTAGAATGTTTAACTACCTTGATACGATCCTCGAAGAAGCTCTACCGATTCGCGACGCAATCGACAAAGAGATGGCTTCAACCTCCGGTGCCTATTACATTGAAGATTCACAACCGATCAACAAGCCACCCTACTTCAATGGAGCAAATTATGCTTATTGGAAGAATATGACGACGCTCTTCATTCAAGCCAATGATCTAGGAGTTTGGAACTCTATCTTGAAAGGCTACACCATTCCAACCGGCGAGATGGACGATTAGAGTGATGGAGAGAAGAAAAAGTTCCAACACAATGCTAAGGCTATGCACATTCTCTTTTGTGCATTAGGCCCGGATGAATATGAAAGAGTCTCTTCTTATTCCAATGCCAATGAGATATGAGATAAACTCCAAGTCACTCATAAAGGAACCGATGAAGTGAGAGAAACCTGATGCGATCCAAACTAGCTCCAACTTTCTCCATGACTTGAACACACCATGGATGTTATTCAAAGCTGTTCCTAAGAGAGTTATTCCTTATTTTATCTTGTATTATATCATTCATGCATTATATTCTATCATAGTCATGCAACTACATGTTAGAGTAAATTATCATATTATTATCCTATGTCTAGTTGATCATGTTTTGCATATCATTCATATCTATGTTATGAATACATATCATTTCTTAGGATATTATTATATGTTTTCATTTATCATTCATATTATTAAGTTTTTAATATAAGGACGAAAATTTAACCCGAAATCAATAGGTTTCGACTTGATTCGATTTGATAAGATCATTTTTTTTAAAAACAAAATCGGGTTCAGGTCGAGTTCGGGTGGAGGGTGAAAAAACTCCTACCTGACTTGGGGATAATAATGTAATTTCCTTTTAAAAAAATATTATTAATTTAATTAAATTCTTATTTTATATCGGGCCAGGTCATATTTATATTCTAAAAATTCAAGTCACGTCAGAGTCGAGTCGAATCTGGTGGAGGATATATAATTTTCTTGTTAGATCGGGTTCGGGTGGAGGATACATATTTTTTGGGGGGTCGGGTTGGGTTGAGAAAAAAATCCGACCCATTGACATCCCTATTTTAATCCCTTTAATTCGTTCGATGATGATGACGAAAAATGGCGATGGCTAACAGTAGTAGCATGGTTTGAAATTAGGGATTTTAGAGCTTTAATATTTTTAGATTTTTTTAAAAATTTTGGGACTTTTATTTTTTTTTAAAATAATTTTACTTTTTTTAAATAAAAATTTTAAAAATATATTAATGCGACATCTTTCATATTTTGAGTGAATGATGAATATGAGTTTATTTTAATTTTTGATTAATTTGGGATGATTACAATACAATATAATATATGTTTGAAAGACTCTCAACTATTTAACAATGAACACTCAAATATCCATGTTGATGCCGTGCTCGAACCCGTGACCTCTAAAAACTAGGGATAACAACAATATCTTTAACCACTGAGGTCATTTGAGTCGTATTGAAACTATGATTTTAAAATGGTGACATTAGGGCAGTTTTGAAATCTAATGAACTATATATTTGTGAATTTGTAGTTTTACCTCCATTTTCAACCAGTTGTTTTATGGAATTGCCTTTTCCTTTTTCACTTTCATGGTTTCATTCTCAACAATTTGCGTTTTTTTTTTTTTGAATTTTTTCAGATTTTTCAGTTTTTCACTTTCATTGTTTCGTTATTTTTGAAACTTTATTACTGAAAATATAAACTGACATATACTTCAGTGACCATTTATATAGTTTACCCTTAATTTTATATAACACGTTTAATATTTTTTATTATATTTTTCGTGTCAAACAGATTTAATTGACCTTATTTTGTTAAAACTTTAAAATTGAATGCTTCAATTATGTTGAAATCCGGCCCTGCCTCCTTACCGTTCCTACCTATGCATGCATGCCATAAAAAGATATTCTTTTACAACCAAGAGCAGAAAGTATCATTTTAAAAGATGACTTTAAGCATATATAATTCCAAAGTTGTAAAAATCGCCAGTCTTCATCACTAATTTTATGCAATTTATGGACAGCTGGGTTTTTTACTGTCTTTTTTATCATCAAAGTTAAAAGAGAAGAGAAGAGAGGGACCGGTATTAAATAAAAAACACACTCTCTTTACATTCAGAAAGAGGGAAAGAGGGAAAGAGTTAGATTTCCAGGTTCTACAAGGGAACAACTAGAAAACCATGCTAAATGATATTCAGTACACATTGTCAGTATGTTAGGATAAGTTTTCCATATCATTCATGTTTGCAATTCATGTCATGCATATTATTATTTCACATTAGTTTTGCATTTCTAAGCATGATTCAATAATAGCATACTTATCATTACATCATACACTTTGTTATGGACGTGCATTTACATTCATAACAGCATGTTATCATTTTTGTTAACTCACGTGCATTGACATTTATCATAGCAGCATACATAACATGCGTGTAGTTCATTGCATTCATTTTAGTTCTTAAGATTTTATATTATATCATGCATGATAGCTCCTAATAACACACACACGCACGGCAGCTGATCCAGTCCGGCACATTTCATTAATTTATCTTGTTCATCTTTGCACTTAAAGATTTTCACGTTTTTTGTTTATGTTTGCATTCATCTAAGCATATTTTAATGTATCTCATTTGCACACACCCAAGTACTTAAAGTTTCACGTGTTGTTTAATAATAAACATGCACTCAAAATCTCACCTACATAAGCACTGCACGACAACAAGTATTCTCATTCCTAACAGCACCATATCATTAAAATAGTTTCTTTCTTGCACATGTAGGAATATTAATAATCTGCCCATGCTGGATGGTTTAGTGGAACACTAGAAGACAAATTCCACTCAC